GAAAAAGAAAATAAACAACCTGCAAGTTTTACTTATATATGCTTCATTTTGAATAATGATCTTTTTACCTAATTCTTCAGCCTTGAAAATAAGACAATTACAAAATCGACTGTGAGCTCAGGTAAACATTTTACAAACTGTTTTTGGATTGATTTTTCTATTAAAATGATGAGACATAGCAGATCCATTAAAAGGTGGTATAATAATAACATCAAAGTTTAAAAGAAATCACAAGGCAAGCTTTTTATGACATTTAATAATAAGGTTTTGGATGCGAAGCTGTAAATAGGCCTGAGCTCTTTTCATTGAATTTCTCTTTTTAGAAGGAGTATAAGTAGTTCTACAAATATAATAATAATTAAGAATCTTATAAAAGAATAAAAATATATATAAAAAAATAATATACTGAGAAATAAGATCATCCAAAGATAAAGACAAAAGGAATATACGATTAATATCTAAGTTACTAAACTAACTACATCCTTTAGATGGAGAATACCAAGACTAACCAGTATGAATACCAGGATCAATAGCAACAATATTGAGATTTTTAGTGATTTGAATATCATCACAATTTTCAACATTTTTACCTGTTATAATATAAAAGATAAATTAATAGTAGTTATATTTAAAAACCTATAGAAAAAAAGCTAAACAAACCATAAACCCAAACAAATGTCCAATAATTTAATTTTTTATTAAATATTAACTTTGAATCTATTAAAACTTTCCTTTAAAATTTGGCCATTTATGATTTTTTCGACGATGTTCATGATGCAATTGAAAAAGAAGAGAATTTTTATCTTTATAATGATTTGTTGATTTGAAAATTTTTTTATTATATAGAAGACGAATATAGAATTTAAGTAATTCACAACAATATTGAGAACAAATAGTAATTGTTTGCTAATTATCCTATTTTGATAAAAAAAAATAATAAAAAATTAGTATTGATGATAATGCAACATATTTATATAATTATTAAAATATTTTTTATATATACTTTTTTTCTTTAGAAATGAAGACGATGTTTTTTATATTTAGTTTCATTATTTCAACAGACAATTTCATTTCGAGCTTAAATTGTATATATAATAGTATGGTCAAGCATCTCATATAGACAGTCCTTCATGAAACTCCATTCAAGAGTATTTGAAACCTTAAGTTTAAGAAGAGATTGAAACTAAGATTGACGAGTTGATAAATAACCATGGTTGAAATTTGTAACCACCATGTTATAAACAAGCCTGTATATAATATATAAAGTTAAAAATTACAATGATTTAAAAGAAACAATAATGAAAACAAAATATCTAGCACAACCCATCCATTGTTTCAACAAAGTTTTCTGTGAAAAATTTGAGTACACTCTAACCTTTAGAGATCGAGTTAGATCAGCCTTCTTTTGATGTTTTGCGTAATAAATTGACTTCAATGGCTTCTTGCGTTTTCTGTTACTGTTATTTTCATTCTTGTCAATATCTACATAGTGTATTGGTTAGCTAATATTATTAGAATAAATAAAGGATAAATAAAT